TCTGCTTTGGTTCTGTTGCTCCCCAAAGTTTGCCTTGCTGGAATGTGTCACTGTCATTGAGATGTACGATCTCAGTTGAAATGACCCACGCACAGTGCTAGATCTTGATCTGGGCTTTTAATTCTCTTTCCTCCTCAGGCTATTGCCTCCAGGGCAAAAATCACTGCGCTGTCTTTACCTTACACCAGCCCAGGAACATCACTGAGGCTGAACAAATAAATAAACCCAGTTGCGATGTGGTGTCTACAGTACACTGAGCAGGCTCATCTATCAAAATTCTGACACCTGAACATGGAGTCAATTATCACGTATTAACTTGCTCTCTTTGGCATCTCGGTGTTTGGGGGGAAGATTCGCTCCCTCTTCACACTCCTCCATGTGCCTCTTGCTGTCTTGGAAATTTTCAGTGTCCCAAGAACACTTGAGTTAAAATGCAGCTTTTCCTGAGTTTCAAACACCTCTGGACGATGCACACATAACTCCTGATTGGGACAAGCACTGGAACAGTCCGCCTCTCGCCAGATTCTTGGCAAGTGACAGTTTTCGAAACAGGACCTTCAGCTGGGCCAAGCCTTGGCACAAATATGCATTTACTTGATTTCCAAAAGACTCTGGGGGTTGTTGCACCACATCCAGAAGTGCTCAGGGCTCACTCCTGGCTTTGTGTCCAGGATCACACCTGGCTCTGTATTTGGGGCTCACTCCTCACTCTATGCTCAGAAATCACTCCAGGCTCTGTCTTCAGGGCGTACATCTGGCTCTGTGCTCAGAGATCACCATTGGCCCTGTGTCAGGGCTTATTCCTGGCTCTGTGCTCAGGGATCACTCCTGGCTCCGTGCTCAGGGACCACTGCTGACTCTGTGTTCAGGGATCACTCCTGGTTCTGTGTTCAGGGATTGCTCCTGGCTCTTGTATTCAGGGATCCCTCCTGGCTCTGTGCTCAGAGATCACTATTGACTCTGTGCTCAGGGCTTAATCCTAGCCCTGTGCTCAAGGATCACTCTTAGCTCTGTATTTAGGGAGCATTCCTGTCAATTCTCAGGGACCATGTACGGTACTGGGGAACAAACCAGGGTGAACCACTTGCAAAGCAAGTGCCTACCCCCCTGTACTACTCTCTCCAGCCCATCATCCCCATATTAAAACTGAGAAACCGGATTTTCATTTTAAAGGTGACAAAATGGCCACACAGAGAGTGAAGTGGTCTTTGAATCAATGGAAGGAAGAAGGAGGGAAGAAAGAAGTGTCGGAGTAAAGGAAGAAAGGAAATCATGGGAAAACGAAATAGAAAATTCAAGCAGGAATGAAAGAGGGCATTCTGAGGGTTCTAAGTCTTCCTAGTCTCCCCTGGATCAGCTTTTCCAGAGACGAGTAACTCCTCCACCTCACCGGTGACAGCAGCAGACACTAAGCTCCTCCGGAGATGGCTGGGGTGAGCGGTCGCAGGAGTAGTGGCAACAGTCACCAGGATTATCCGGGCCACTTTCCTTCCTTCAGAGACACCTTACAGTTACTCCCCAGGGTTGCTTCTAGAAAGACCCCCAAGTCCAGTCAAGAGCAAGAGGCACATCCATTTGCATCTGGTGACCCCTTCTGATGCTGTGACAGCAGGTCCTGACCTGGCACCCTCATGTAAGCCCCAGTGTCACTGGCTGACCTGGCCAAGGAGCTAAGTGCCCCTGACTGCAGGCCCAGGGGTGAGGAGGACAGGAACTGGGGAGAGCAAAGCCCAGCACATGCATGGGGCCCTCAGAAACATTCCATGTGGGAGAGGCTCACAGGAGAGGAGCTGGTTGGCCTAAGGGGTGGCCGAGGGAGGGTTCCAGTGGGAGCCAGGAAGATGCCAACTGCCTCTGAGTCTCCCCGGTCCCGGGGATCTCTGGTTCTACTACTCTGGCTTCTATTTTTTTCTTTTTGGGTCACACCCGGCAATGCACAGGGGTTACTCCTGGCTCTGCACTCAGGAATTACTCCTGGCAGTGCTCAGGGTACCCTACGGGATGCCAAGGATCGAACCTGGGTCGGCCACGTGCAAGGCAAATGTCCTACCTGCTATGCTGTCGCTCCAGCCCCTCTGGCTTCTGGTTTATCCTCTCCGCTCTAGGCTCAGGGCAAAGCTTTTCACTTGAGCCTTGGGAGTCCTGGGCTGGGGCTTCTGAAACCAAAAGTTCAGCGGGGGCTTCCCCGTCGGCAGCTTGGGCTGAGACCTACAACCTGCTCAGTGTATGCCACCCGTGGGCAGCACAGTTCCCTGCAGCGGGTGCCAAGGCTCTGTGGCCCACTGTGTGGAACATTTGGAAGGAAATGTGCCTGTAATTGGGGTGTATCCCTGTGGGATGGGGTATTCCAGGGACTGTGAGTCTTCAATGCCATTCACTGGCTTTGTGAGCCCATTCCAGATCCTCTGTCTGTTTTTCTCAGGGGCCGTGTACAATTATGAAATAAAATGGGCACGGGGCAGAGAGAGGGGCACACCCTATCAGCTGCCATCCTGACTTGGGGGATCCAGGCATAAAGTGAGGGTGCAGGTTTGAAAGAATCTCAGAGATTCACATCATTTCTGCAATTAATGCATAATGCATATTACTGGAGCAATAATAAAGGATCAAACACACACGGAGAAGGGCTCTGGAACTGATGGGAACAGCATCCAAATGGGGTAGCGTTACCTTATGCAGAAAAGGTGATCTCTGACAGAAATCCTGACCACTGGGGAGATGAATTTGCAACGGAAAGCAGAGACCTACAGACCTTTCCTGGCGGTGGCTTCCTGGCCTTCCTCCCCAAGGGACGGGCAGGGGGCAGCTAGAACCAGACCTCAGGGGGCTAATTTGCTTTAGGAACCTGCAGGGACAGGGGACAGCAACCCTGAACCTGGGAAGGGATCTAGGCAGAGAGAAAGAGACAGAGTTTGTCAATGTGCTTGATGTTAAATAAAACCTAGCAAGACTTAGCTGAGAATTTTAGCAGAATCCAAATGTGCTATAAAAAAAAAAAAAGAAAGAAAGAAAGGAAAAGAAAAAGGCACGGCTCCCATCTCTAAGGTTCACAGCTAAGCTGGCTTAGAATCACACATGGCAAGGTTAAAAATAAGCAGCAGCCATCCCTGAATGACATGGGCTGGGAAGGAAGCCTGAGGTAGCTGTCCGTGCAAAGGAGCCAGGAGAGCCGGAGGCAGAACCTGGGGTCAGGGCTGAGGCACTGAACGGAGACCACACTGTCCAAGCCAGCTGCCTGGGATTCTGCTGTTTCGTCGTGAGATGGCACTTCACAGGGGCGAGAGGTTCTAGAATATTCTCTGGATTTTCCACAGAGGAAACCTGCAGTGCATTAGGGTGTGACCAGCCTGAGCCCCCTGCAGAGCTCTGCTGTGGAGGGTCTGGGTCTGGATCCAAAGTCACTGTTTTACCTCTGATTTGGAGAGACCGGATCTGACACTTTGTGCCCCAGAAGCAACTTGTGTCCAGCTGGGGCCGCTAGCTGTGTGTCCGCACCCAGTGCTGGGTGCCTGTCCCTTGGCCCTTGCCACCACACACTCCTGTGGGCCAGAGGTACAGACAAGAGGGACTAGCCTACTGTCCCCTTGCAAAAGGAAAGGTCCCTAGTAGGAGCACAATGGGATCACATTAATGAAAATGTCCTTCGTCCAACATGCCAACAGCATTTGACTTCCTGAAGGGTTTACTTTGAAATCAATTTTAGTAATAATTTTTGGTTGGGGACCACACCCCATCTGTGCTCAGGTCCTACTCCTGGCTCTGCACTCAGGGATTACTCCTGGTGGGGCTCAGGATACCAGATGGGGTGCCAGGGATTAATCTGGGATCCGCCACCTGCAAACAAAGTCCCTTACCTGTTCCTGCACTAGCCCCCCCCCTTTAAAGCAATTTTCAATAACTCACCTCAGCTACTGGGCAAGCTCCTGTGTTATCCTACCCTAGGTCCCTCATTAGACAGGTATTTCTACAAAGTCTTCAAGGGATAAGGAGAATGAAGACAAACCTGCGACCCATAAGTTCCAGGGAGCCCAGCACCCCCAGAAAAGCCTTGACTCAGCCCACATGTGGGTCAGTGCCAGCCCTTTCAGAGCTGGTGGGGTGGAGGGGCACAGAGCGAGGCAGACTGTATCTTTCCAGAAGCTGCAAGCATCCCCTCATCTACACCCCAGCAGCCAGGGTGGCATATCCCCAACAGCAGATGCCTCTAGGACCCTTTGGACCCCCCGAGGTGTCACCAGAATCGGGGCTCCAGGATGAGAAGCCTCAGAGGCACAAGTCCCTTATCACACCTTTGAAGCACTGGAGAACGTTCCCTCCAGAGATGGGGGGTATGGGACAGAGACATTTTTCAGACCCGCGGGCTGCGGCCGTGAGGGAGCAGACGCGCCAGGCTCTGGAGTTTCAGGACTGAACCCACAGTGCCACGACCCAAATCCTGAGTCCGCGTCCACTCTCCAAGACCGCGGACTGGGGGCTGAGGACTGGGGGCTGAGTGGCGAGGGGTGGGAGGGAAGAGGGGGTGCCAGTCCAGACACGGCCGCAGGTACCAGCAGCCCAGCCCCAGCACGGAGCCCAGCCGCTGGTCCTTGGGGGGGACGTAGGGGGGGTGCTTCCAAGGTCCAGGGGGAGGCGGCGCGTGTGTCCTGCCTGGGCTTGGTTCCCTGGACACCCGCTGAACCTCACGGGCAGGCGCGAGCAGCTCTTGAGCTCGGGCTGAGACTTGGCTGTAATTGTCACCCTCCAAGCGTCCAGGACCCCAGGAGGCGGAGGCGGGGGGTTGACAAATCATCGTCGCGGTTCAAGCACCCCCTCCCCCCCCACACACCCGTGCGCGCCCTTCTGCAAGTTCTAGCCAGCTCCTTCTGCCAGTCTGAACCCCAGTGCCTGCCTGAAGTCACCCTCTAAGAGACAGCTAAAGGGGAGAAACGGGGGAAACGCAGGAGGAGAGGAGAGGCGCTGGGGAGGGAGCCCCGGCGCGGAGCAGGTTCCCGGGTCCTTACCTGTACCAGTCCAGCCCTCGCCCATAGTTGCGGTCGAAGAAGTGGGGCTCGGTGCCCAAGGCCCGCACGTCCGGGTGCACGCGGATAAACTCCAGCACGGCCCGGGTGCCCCCCTTCTTCACGCCCACGATCAGGGCTTGGGGCAGCCGCTTGGTGCCCAGCTTCGGGGAGCCCGAGTGGTTGGCGGCGGGCGCTGGGAGGCGCGGGGCGGGCGCGGCGGCTGCGGGCGCGCTGGGTGCGCCGGGCGCGCTGGGCGTCGGCCCCGGGGGATCGCAGGGGCGGGACTTGGGGAGAAGTTTCTGGCCGCGGAGGCAACGGGGCGCGCCCAGGAGGCGGCTCCGGCCCAGGTCGTCGCAGCAGCACAGGAGGCTGTAACACAGGTAAGTGCAGGAGAGCGACAGCGTGAAGGCGAAGAGCAGCCTGCGCGCCCGCCGCGGCTTCGGTGGCCCCGCGCGGCCCAGGACCCTATAGGCCATGGCTCCATGGGCCCGCGCCGGGGGTCATGGTTTCCGAGGGGGGACCAGCGGCCGGGGCCACGCGGCTCGCGTCTACGGGGCGCCGCTCTCCGCCGGGCGCGGCTGGCCGGGGCGCACCCCGCGGCCGGGCTTCCCGGGGGCGGCGGCTCCTCCTCGGGGCCCCGGCCGCCGCGCTCCCCGCATCTCCCGCCGCCCGCGGCTCCGGGGGCTCCTCGGCGGCTCTCACGCTCTCGAGGCTCGCCGCGCGCCCGGCGCCCGCGGCCCCATGCCCGCCGCTCGGAGCGCGGCGCCCCGGTCACTCGGCGGTGGCCACGGCGGGCGCGGCGAGCGGGCGCGCGGGCCGGACGGGGGCGCTGGCCGGGTGCCGGCTCCTCGAGAAATGCCGAGCCCAGCGCGCTGCCGGCTCTATTTAAGGAGTCGCCTGACGTCAGCCGCGCGGGTCCCCCGAGCCCGCGCCCCGCCCGGGGACCTGGCCCGCCCCCTGCACCCCCTCTCTCCTGCCCCTCCCGGGAACGCCGCGCCCCCCACGAACCCAGACCAACCCGGCTGGGGTGGGGGGTGGCGGTGCGGGTGGGGGCGGAGACGAGGTTGGGTGTCTTGACTCCGCCTGGAAGCTGGACACCCCCGGGCACGCGGGTCTCTCTCGACACCCAGGGGTGAGAACCAGGCGCAGAGACCCGGGCGCAGATGCGAGCACCCCTATGCCCCCCACAAGCCCCCCACCAACACACAGACACACACACGCGCGCGCACACACACACACGCACACACTTGCGCACACACACGCGCACACGCGTGCGCGCACACACGCACACTGGCCACATGGAGTCGGGGGGACTGAGAATCTTCTCATCTGCCAGAGGAACCCCGATCGGGACACTCCCCTCTCCCCTTCACACCCCGACCCCTCGCTCCCCACCACCACGCACACGCACACGCGCGCGCGCGCGTGCGTACACACACACACACACACACAAACGCGCGCGCACACACGCGGCCAGGAACCGCACTCCGGGTGGCGCGCCCGCGCGCAGGTCCGGACCCCAGACAGGGAAGGGGGACGAGCTGGGCAGCGGCGCTGAGATTCCGTGACTGTTGGCGCGCTGACTCACACGCAGGCGGAGAGCTGTCTCACACCCGGGAAACGCGCACCCCCAGCCCTCTGTCACTCCACCTCTCCCCGGGCTTGCAGCCGGGGCTGAGGATGGGGCTGGGGGGAGCCCCAGGAGGACTCACGCGCGCTCGAGGGGCCTCTCTGAGCAGCGCCCCCTAGCGGCCGACTGCTCCCCGGGACCCTGTCCCGGGTCCCACAGCCACCTGAGGACCCGCTGGCTGGGGGACAGCGCGCGGTGGCACTGGGAGCACTTCTCCAGGAGCAATTCACCTCCGAAGGATTCCTCCGTGGCCGTCCCGAGACACTGATGGTCCGTGGCCAGTCCGGACTGCCTGGAGTGACCAGTCCATGACTGCGCAGAGTGACCCGCCAGTGGATGAGAATTATTGCTTCAAACGGGACTAAAGGACCTTGAGTAAGAACACAGCTGAATTATCGTTTCACAACAATGGCAGCGTATGGCTCCCAGGGGTTGAGTGAGGGAATGCCCCCATCAAATATCTAAATGACCATATGGTCTTATTTTCCACTCCAGGTCATTACTGCCCCCCATCCTTATTTAGGTTCAGTTTCAGAGACCTACCCCTCAGGCCCCAAGGACCTTATTCAATCTAGGGACTGTTGGTTCCCATTCCTAAAACCGTAGGCCAGTCCCTCTGCTACTACAATAACTCTCCCTTTTGGATAATGCTAATTAGCTGCTAACTCGTATGTTTGTTTCGTGGCAGCTCATCACTTGACATGCGACACCTCGTTCATCCCTGAGAGAGGTACTCTTAAAGTCGGGTTCACAGATAGGAAGTTTGGGGGTTCATGAACCAGCACACAGTCATCCGCAGAGCTGGGATTTAAACCCTAATGGTCTGCCTCCAAGATCCAAGTTCCCTAATTGTAGCGCTTGCTGTCCTAACTTCCCAGCCGAGGACTAAATTCTCTGCATCATTTCTGCAATCAAACCTGGAACCCAGTGAGGGAGTTACACCTGGGAAAGTTCCACAGGATTCTTATTCCTTTCAATAAAGTCTGTTTTGAGTTGTGTCCCCTGCGGCTCCATTATCTGTTTCACGGAGCTCTGTCAAAGCTGGCATCTCAAGCTTTGAGCTAAGTAACAGCTCCATGACTCTCTTAAGTGTCACTGATTAAAGCACACCCCCCTCCTACTGAGCTTATGCAGTGGACGTTTTTGGACTCAACATGGAGGTCCTTGCACAGTTGACCTGATTAAATTTTTAGCTTGTCTCTCATCAACTGACTGCTCCAATTTTTTTTAAGTCTACTTGAATCGTGACATAGCTTTCATTTATTCCCAAAGAGAGCAGAAAGCTTGAATCTTAGCATTTTTAACCTCGGTTCCAGGAGAGAGCAGATTGGAGAGCAGATTGACCTTCCCGAAACTCGATGATGTCTGCTGTAAAACGGGGTTGTTACAACTCAATTCAGACACCTCTTGGGGCTTGATGTGGAACCTGGTGATCCCATTCTTCAAGGTATGCAACCGTTCTATTAGTATCATGCCATCTCTGTTTAATTTGACTTAATTTCTCACTCAAATTGTTAATATAGAATGTCAAAACAAAATATGCCAAAAGGAGTTCTCATATCCACGTTCAGCTGTTTTACACCCCACCTCCACCCCACCCCGGCCCCCACACCGGGAACTTTCTGTTTCTGCATTTCACTGTTAAAATTACAAGGTTGAATGTGGATTCATCTGCTCTGACAGGTACTTTTCTTACAAAAAGAAACCTGAATTGGGTTCTCCTTAGAATTCTATGCTTGACTCAAAGTTTAAATTAATCTTATCTTGGCATTCATAATTTTATCTCTGAATTCCCAGTGTATCCAGGCACACGTGAGCCTGCAGAATTGCACTTCCAGTTCCCAACCTAGAGTTATGGCCTTGACTTGAATGTCTATTCAGCAGTGGGCTTGGTCGCTCATTGTCCTCCACCCCTTGTGTTTTTAAGAGTTTACCATGATTCTCCTCGAAAGGATGAAGTCATATTATGTCAGGCTGTGTAGTTTGTCAAATAATCCTTAAGTGAGACTAATGTTTCTTTTCTCATCACATGCAGAGAGGAAGATGGTTCAGGGGTGGCACATTTCCTCAGGGTTCGAGACTGGACTGTATCAGGCATATCCCGCCTTCTAAAGTAGCCTCAGGCTACTTTACCTCTTTATCCAGTCATCCCTCCCACATTCTGGCTGTGAGGAAGAATGCGGAAAACAAGTTGGATCCTTTTCAATCCCTTCCTGGAGATTGCCTGCTTATGAACCATTAGGGTCAGACGTTTTCAAATGTCTTTCTCGCTTCCGTTGATCTTTTGAAATGCTGTCTTGATTCTAGATGGCTTTTTCTCTGCTAATATTTGGGTGTCTTGTTACCAAGGATGAAAAGCTGAAGCAAAGTTATGAAGGAGAGCCAGGCACTTCTAACATTCTTGGAGAAAGCATATCTTTTCCTTTCCTTTTCAGACCACACACAGATTGGTGGTGTGGTCTGAGCTGAAAGAGACACATCTGACCAAACCCAGACGATTATCATTTTCTGAGCATGCCTCAATGTTTGAGAACAACTTGAACCATTTTAGTGTGCTTCGACCAGAGAACTTTTGTTAAAACCACTGAGAACGCGTGTGTGTGTGTGTGTGTGTGTGTGTGTGTGTGTGTGTGTGTAGGTGACATGGAGCTTTTTCTGCTGAGGTGCTGAGCGAATACACAAGAAGTTCACACTTCCAATGGCTGTCTCTGCCAAGAGACAGGAAATAAAGCAAAGACAGGGAAGTGGACCAAGAGGAAGAACCCTATTTCTTGGGGGTGGGGGGAAGAGGGCATATCCTTTTACACCTCTGAATCTGGCCAGGGCAGAAACATGGTGCCTGAATTGTACTTTCATAATTTCAACTGATTACAGATGAGATTAACCCTGAACTTGTTTTTTTTTCTTTTTGGGTCACACCCAGTGATGCTCAGGGTTACTCCTGGCTCTGTACTCAGGAATTACTCCTGGCAGTGCTTATGGGAACCATATGGGATGCCAGGGATCAAACCCAGGTCAGCCACATGCAAGGCAAATGCCCTACTCACTGTACTATCGCTCCAGCCCCAACCAAGAACTTTTGAAGATAAAATAGACGACTTTTATAGTTGTGCAGAAATGATATCCATTCCATGGGAATCAAACTTCCTTAAAGTTAGACTACACACCCACATCTTCTGGACAGTCTATGCTGCTTCCTGTTCAGCTACATCATCTATCACTTGCTGTGACAGCACTTTTAGAGCTCGTGTTTCATATTTTCATATCCTATCATGTCTGAAAAACGCCCACCCATGTTTCCTACTTCAGGTAAGAAGGAAAGGGAGGCAATTCATTTCGAGATGCGCTCAAAATAATAGCTCTGCTATAGGCTAATGCCAGAGTCCAGAGCTTACCTCAGCTGTGATGTTTGGAAGGTTAGGTGTAGTAAATGCATTTTCAGTTTACAGTGTTGTCAAACTGCAACCCTATTGCATGCTGGAGCTGATCTGTAGTTACTTTTCTGACTTGCAATTAAGAGCATCTTAATACAAAACACAGTTACTACTTTTAGCTAAGGAACAGGGGGTGTTTCTGTAAAAGTGGTGGGGGTGAGTTGGGGGCGTATTTCTAGGGTTCTGTAGAGACTAGACCTGGAATCTTTTGAGGTCTGAGGTTACCCTGGGACCCAGCTACTTTTTCTATCATCTTATATATTTCATCCCCCTCCAGCCCCCCATTCTTAACTGCCCTTTGCCCCTTTATTTATGAATCATAAGGGTTACTGAGTTGCAAGCAACAGAAACTGACGGCGTCTAATATAAGAAAAAAAGAAGGAATTTGGAATAGCTCACACATGCCAAAAAAACCTTAGAAATAGCTTACAGAATTAATAAGATGGCATGAAAACTGGGTTCATAGAATAACAATGTTGAAACACATTTTTCCTTCCCTTCCTTTCAGAGTCTTCGTTTTCTCCCTCCCCTTCCCCCCTCCTACCCACCCCTATCTCTCTCTGTGTCTCTCCCTCATCAGCATTGTCTTAAATCTTCCTTCCCACTCTAATGCTCAGCAGTTAAGACCTTGAATTTGAAATGATAAAACAAGGAGATTTTCTTTCTGTTAAGTCTTTGGACATAATCAAGCCTTATTATTCAGTTTTATTTCAGTGTAAGTTTCAATTTTTCCCCCTACAGCTGAGTTTTGTAAAAATGTGAGAAAACATTACAAAG